GACTTCAAAAGTGAAATTTATAACATTTACTTTTTCTGGATTCCGTTGCTTTCAAAAATTGCGCCAAACTTTAGCTATCGTTCTAAAAACTGATTTGCTGACACTGCTTGGATATACATTTACACGAAAAGACTGAAATGTAAAGTAAAGTACAACCATGGGCTGTTAATAGTAACTGTCGCCGGACGATGGTCGATCGCGATAGGCGTTCTAGTATATGGTATTTAAATTGAATGGATTTTGAGATATGCAAAATTCTGCCTGATTCTTAGCACTTCATTTTCACGTAATAATATTTCATTCAAAAATACCACATACTTATCTAATAACCCCTACCACTAACCAAATAATATATGTATATATATATAATATATATAATAATGTATATTTATTTAATAATTTAACTGTTTATCTGTTAATGACCCTCGCGGTTCACGAGCACATCGATAAGCAGCCTTGTTCCCTTCATGCTCTACATGCACTAATACACATGTAGTTGGGGCTTCCAGCTGCGTGTTCTACACGCACTAATACTTGTAGCTGGGACTTTGGCAGAGGCCTGATACTCCGAGACGCACATTCTGCGGTGACGTTTCGCTTATAGGCAGCTGATAGTCTACTATATTATTTGGTTAGTGCCCCTACTCTAAATTTTGGTGGAGCGTCCGCCTATTCCCGCCTCCTCATCTTAAGCTACTGGGTGTAACTTAATAAGTTTTTATGTAAATAAATATAAATAAATAGCGTCCATAAATACTATAGACTACATATAAATAGTTAAATAAATACAGTTAATGAATTACCTACATGGGGACGGCTAGGAGAATTTCAATAAACATCCTAAATCCGGTATTTTGCCAATTGATTTCCTTCGAATGCAACAGATTGTAGAGTAAAGCCTATTTGGTAAGTACTATTACTCAGCGAAAATAAAGGGGTCGCAACAAAAATCAGGGATGATATTCGTATGGAATTTTGTGCGCACAAGTTACATTTGTAGGAGGCTCTTGTGGCGAATCAACAAATAGGATTCATAATAAATAGGAATAAATAGGAACACTCGGATTCTCATTCAATTGTTCTTTATTTTTTTTTTTTTTTTTTTTTTTTTTTTTTTGTCTGGACGTTTATATGCAATGACTGCACCATCAAGTGGCCCATGCGACATCAAGCCAAAGCCTGTTTCGCGAACAGGAAAGATAAAAGTTAGGCTAATATTCGAGGAAAATTAGAGCTAAACACAACTAGACAAGAGCTACTATAGCTAAGCAAGCAAAAATTACCAAAATCAGAAACAAGGCAAAACTAACATTAAACTAACTACGGGAGAGGTAGGCTAGTATAAAAGATTTAAGAAGAGGAAGGGAGTTGGTTGACGATATAATGTGGTAGAGGGAATTATAATCCGAGCATAAAACCCTAAAGGGTTCGTGTGAGGCATAATTCGATCTACATAGTGGAAGGAATAAAGGAATAAAGTTTCTAGTGGGTCTAATGGGAATCGTAAAGTTTATGCGGCAAAGTCAGGGCTGTCTACATCCCCCTTGATCAAGTTGTGCATAAAAATTACATCAAGCATTTTTCTACGACTAACTAAGGATGGAAGATTTATTAAAAGAAGTCTACTACGGTGGGATGGCAGTCTCACAGTTGAATCCCAGTTGAGGCCCCGTAGGGCAAAAATTAAAAAGTTTTTCTGTACTGATTCAATACGGTCCTGATGTATGTTGTACTGAGGGCACCATACACATGAGCCGTATTCTAAAATCGGAAATGTTATCATCTTTTATTTCATACGACCGGTCTCCATGATGATTACAATCTAACTCCCTTTCTTCTGGCAATCCCGATTACCCGCTTATCGATAGTCCTTCGTGATCTACTTAACCTATTGGTATCTCCACTCGATGTATCGGTGTCGTGGACGATACCAACGCTCGCTTATTCAAAGATATAATGCTTAAAACAAATAACCTGCTACAATTCAAGCGTCTTTACGCCAGGAAGTACTAAGATCAACAAAAAAAAACAGGCCGAAAAAATCTAGAAAATCAGACGATAATATTTTTTGGTATCGATAGTATTTGTGTGGTATTCGTTTGTATGTTGCTAGCAGCTCGAAAAATAAAGATGTTTTATTTTCGTGAGGGTACCTAGCAAACAGAGAGTACTTTTCGTGAGGGTACCTAGCAAACAGAGAGTAATGTATCAATCAGATGAAGGCAACAATGCCGCTGAAGTTGATAGATAAATGACCACCGTGCTTCTAAACGAGCTTAAGGCCATTCAACGGCAAAAATGGAAACAGTTATTATAGATTAATGAGATTATATTGAATTTATTTGCATTTCTAATTTGTTTTACTTATTTGAACGCCAGTAGCCTTATGTTGCTAAGACACAGACCCTGCTAGGCTGTTTTGTTTTAAGTTGTTTTCGTTTTGGGACCAAGTACTGCTCCACAGGGTCGTGTTAAGGGGCGAAGGCGGCGATTTGTACTCAAAACCATCCAATTTTAAATAGGAAGGGTGCTTGGAGGCGCCGATTTACAACTTTGCAACGGTCTTAAATATTCCTTGGCACGGCCTTGCTGCTCCACCCATCAAAGAAGTCTGCAGATGTTATTCCCAGCCACGATGTTATTCGTTAACACGAAATTCTCTGTCATATTTTCAAACTGCGGAATATGCAAAGGATATCGTTTCATATGTTTCCATGTATGTACACATATTTATATGAGTTATAATACTTAAATGTATAGACAAACGACCGTTCTGGTTTCTTTCCTGCAGATATGCAGGATTGCTGAATGTCCTCGTCCTCCGATCATGCAAGAGCCGCCAATCCCACTTAAAGCAATCACCTGCATGGATCCATTTTTCATTCATTGTTTTATTAACCATTTATTTGATTTTTACACATTTTCAAAAAGGTAAACAAAACAACACAGCTTCCTGAGAAGTGTAACCGTACGGAATGCGGTTTTCAAATCTGGTCACACTGGCAAAATATGTTGCACATTTTGCTAGCAAGTTTTTTTTTTCGATCTGAGTACTAGGCTTAAAGTCCGTTTTATTTTTTTTTAATTATCGCTTTGTTTTTGGTATTTTTTTGAGATGTCAATATTGTGCGTCCTGAGGGCTTGGAAAGTACCACTAACCAAATGGCATAGTATTTTTTGTATATATATATATATATGCATATATATATTATGTATAAGAATACATTTATAATGTATATAATTATACATATATAGACATATGTAAATTATGTACACAAATAAAAGAAACAAAATAGGTTCGCGGTGGGTCTATTCAGATTTTAGTAACATCTTGGGCATCAAATCTGAAGTCAGTTGTCAAATCTCGATTTGCCGATGGAAATCGGAGGAAAATGTGTAAGAGTTAATGTGTGTGGACATGTGCAAGGCATCCGCCTTGCTTCCGTCAAAACTCTTTGCTTGTTCACACCGTGATTCTGAATCCTCTAATGGAAAATATTTGCAACGCAAAGTCAATTGCGGTAATTCATTATTTGTATACATATTCAGATGTTTATATCCGTTACCCCTTTCATCCTTAATTATATAAAGCAAATAAAGGTCACACACAAAAAATTTATTTTGATATAGAGGGGCAAGCTTCTTCATAAAGTCCTGAGGGTTTTCATTTCGAATGGTATGTGCGATCAGAATAAAAAAAAAAGAGCAAAAGATTTCAAGCGCTAACAATTAAAGCGCACATGAAGTCGAGAAAATAACCGACGACGAGAACAAAAATTGGAAAGATGTATGTACATACATGTGTACATATACATATGTGTGTACATATATGCACATGTTTTTATATTTATCTGAAAAATTTGTCTGTAAAAGATGGATTGGTAACAATGTTGATAAGACGGCAGCAACGAAGTCGAGAAGCTACGGCGTTTCGATAATATGCATACAAATTTGAATAAGGCAGTATAAAATCTGCATATAAAACAATTACAGCATACAATTACAATAACAACTTTTATTGGTATATTTATTTTTTCCAACCCCCAAGGGTCCGGCCACCAAACCCCCCCCTCATTCAGCACATGTGGCTGCAGGTCAGGTTCATACGCCAAGCCCCGAAAACAAAATCAAATCATCAAAACGAATTTTCGTTCCAGCGCATTTCACAAAGTCAGCGTACCAACACATACATTACTTGCAGTGTCCATGTGAATCAAGACAAAACCGGTTTGGAGCGCTAAAAAATCATTGACTACACGAACTTATACAAATGTAGCTGGGGCTCCTACCTACGTGCTCTACACGCCCTAATACACATGTAGCTGGTGCTTCTAGCTGAGTGTTTTACACGCACTAATACTTGTAGCTGGGACTTTGGCAGAGGCCTGGGACTCCGAGACGCACATTGAGCGGTGACGTTTCTCTTGTATGAAGTTGAGAGTCTCCTATACTATTTGGTTAGTGGCCCCGTGATGACTGGCTAGCCGGTCTTGCCCCAACACCAAAAAGGTTCGTAGCATGAGTACTCAACTCAATCTTTTGTATGGGAAAATCATCTGAGTACTGGGCTTTATAAAGGATTGATTCATTAAGCGGATAAAATTATAGTTTTAGCCCTGAGAATTCCGACCAGCTGGTAATATTACGCAGAATTTCAAAATCGAGTAAATTGATATGGAGAATACAGTATATTTACGGTATATTTTTAAAAGGAAAAGGAATATTTCTGTATATTTCCGAGGGTCAGATGGTATATATTATCGATAAGTCCGCGGTTATATCAGAACAATTTAACGGTTGACTCGTGCGGATGCAAGAACGCAGAGGCTGGTTAAATTTTAAATCCTTTTTAAATAACAGAATGAAAAACGGAAAGTTTCAAATGAATTTCTCAAATGTGTGACAATCAGGTCGGCTTAATTACTATCTATATAAATTGTGCGAGGGCTCTGTGAAATCGGTAAACCAATTCAGTGAACAAATAATAACTTATGGTATTCAACTTTCGCGGCTCGTCTACCATAAGTACAGCAACTTGTGGTGTTCTCCATTAACATTGTGGATCGTGCTCCAGGTGCAATCAAAAAGGATTCACCACACACTGTCATGCCGGGAGAAACAAAGTCGGCACTCGACTTCAAGCTGCATATGAGTTTATAATTGTCTAGTTTTTAAGCATGCCGCTTGTGTGCTTCGCCTGACGACAGAGCGTTGGCGGAAGACTGACAATGTCGGTGTCGATGTTAGTGCCTAGGTCCTGTAAGGGCGGGTGTTGGTAGACTGACTTGACTGATGGGCTCCATATTACATCAAATAGCTCCACTTTCCTTTTACAGGATAACTGCTCTGTGAGCCTCCCTTGTTCTCTTGTTCGGGCGTGTGTGTGTGAGTGCGCTTGACTCCTTTGCTCTGTAAAATATGCAATTAGAAAGACATCAAAGCAGAGCTACCGCTCAACGATGATAGACCGCCCACCACCCGCAGGCTATTACTTACAGTTACGTCCAATATAATAGCACTTTAAATATAACTTAAATCCGTATTTTCTGTGTGTTCTGATTATCCTTCTGCAACTTTGATATTGTGCTTTGCAACTCTTTAACATTTTTCGAGATTTTATTAAGTTAAGATCTGCTAGGTCAAAAAGTCTTAAGGTCGAAATTTGTTCTGTGGCTTACAAGGAAAATTCACAAAATCTTCGCTGAGCGGATAAAATTTGTTAAAATATGAGGGTGGCTATTATTTTAGACGTAGCAGTGCTTGACTACTCTTACTGTCTCTTCCTTGCTTAGCTATGCGCTTTGACACAAGCACATAGAGAGTGCCAGTGAGGCGAGGCGAGGGTGAGAGGCGAGAGGCCTCAAGTATCTGAGCCCCATCATTAGTGTGCCGTGCGCCACCGTTGACGGAACTTTGTCTACCGCCGCCTCTACCACTGCTTTCAATATTATTTATTTATATTTTTCACTTTTAATAAAATGTTGTCGCTGCCGCCGAAAGACTTGGCCAAACTGTCGGAAAGATAAAGAGACGAACAGCCTGTCGAGGTCAATTGGCTTAATTACTGTGTGACAGCGTGTGGACAAGTGGCAGAGGCGTGCTCAAAAAACTTACACTGACACCAGTAACCATACATACACACATACGTACTACGATTATTATGTACATTCCATCGGATCTGTAGTTGTAACTCTCAGTCAATAGAGTTCCTTGTGAGGGAAAAACATTAAAATTAATGGGCTTTGGTTTTCATTTGATTCAAAATATAGAGAACTGATACCTATTGTACACACATCCATACATATACTTACAGTGGACAGTGCAAGTAAAAAAACTAAGCCATTTAAAGAGTTTGAAGCGCAAACATAAATGTATGTGTGAATGTATACATACATCTGTTTAGAAAACAAAATTGAAAATCTTAGTGCTCTCTGCTGCACTGTCCATAAGCATTTTCTTATCGAACGGATGCAATGACATTTGGACATGTACATAGATGAAGCAGGAGAATCGCGTACGAGTATTCGTGGATGGACACACTCATTTCCCTTCGACTGATCGACTTATCAGTAGTGGCAGTGAACAAAATGCACTCAGCATAAGCGCAATAAGAAATACTTGTGTAAAACAACAAATTCAGTGGACTGAAGAAAAAACGATAAAAATGCGCCCCAGTGGCTGGCAGTTACTGGTTCTACTCCTCCTGCTGTGTCTCAGTCTCTATGGCGCCGTGCGCCAGTTGGATGAGAACCAGAGCACCAAGAAGGATCACCGTCATGCCTCAGAGCGACAGGTGCGGCGCCGCAACAAGAGCAACGCCTCCGCCGACCAACAAAGAGTTCTGGTCACCAGTAGCACCAAAAGCAAGACTTCGGATGGCACGGAGTCGGAAGATTATGACTGGCTGGATGTGGAAACCAGCGAGGCACTCGATAGTTCGGAGACGATGGCCGTTCAATCAGTGAGAGCTCATGGAGATGGCGAGTCACATGGTAAGTCTTATCACTGTAGGCTCTATCTCTGGCCGGGTCTGAGTCACAGCCCAGTGACCTTTCGAGGCAGATCAAAAGCAACCGCTTTTATTATAATCAGCCTGCAATACACAGCTGTGAAAAAATTAAAAGCACCACCACCACAAGCAATTTTCAAGTCTCAAAGTGATCCTACAGTGGTTGGTTTGGATACAGCAACTGAATTTTGGATGGCGAACCACAAATTTTCGATGGGTTTCGTGTCAGGCGACTGTGCTGGCCATTCTAACACGTTCCGTGTTGTCCCCTAACCGTTCCTTTGCTTTCATGCTTGGGTTATTTACTAGTGGGTTATTTACTGCCCATACTAGTGGCAATTCATATTCTGCAAAACGGTAGCATTACAGTCTCCATGATATCCAAGCACACGTGCTGATCCTTGATGGTTTTTATTCAATATATTGAACCTACTCCATAGTAAGGGAAGCAGGCCCATCCCATTAAATTAAACCTTTTATTTTCAATGGGTTTCTTTGGTGTACTGGCGTTCCTTGGACGTCTTAAGTATAATCGAGATCCCTTTTCAGTTAATAAAACACTTCTTACTCATCTGACATTACAATTTTCCTCCATTATAGGGATGTCCAATTGGCATGCTCCCTTGCAAACATCATGTGCTTAGTGATATGTCTGGCGGTTAAAAGTGCGAGCTTTTTTTTGGTAGAAGGCTTTTAGGCTATGTTATCTAAGATATATCCAAACTTTCTAGCCCGTCGATTTTATTTTAAGCTCTTTTTTAAGCTCGAGAGCAGGCTTGAAGGGAACCTTCTTGCTCTCACCAATCAGCCTTTTGACCCTAAAAGGGGTCATAAATCGTTTTCATCCACGTGTTTCACACTTTTCTTCGTAGTTGAAGGCGTTTTGAATCATTTTATTGAAACTTCCTACCAATTGGCCAAGTTCTCTGTAAGTTTTTACGTCAAATATAAATTTTTTTCTAGGGGCGCGCTTCTTCGCATTTCAGAGCTTTACACGTCTTATTGTAATGATTATTATTAGCTTTTATGATAGAAACAGTGAAATAAATATTAGTCAAAACTAATAAATAAGTGGTTAATACAAAGTAAATTCCGCGAAATTACGGAGATTCACTTTAAATAGTGCTAATGGTGCCATTATTTTGTTCGCCATATTTGTGGTATTTTTTCTATAAGTTCAAAAAATATATATAAAGACAGATATTTGAAAAAAGGCAACACTTTTATTGTTAATGGGGAACACTTAACTATATGGAAAAACTAAAAATTTAAAAAAATCACAGCAGAAATGGTTTTTTTTGGCCAAAAACAAAATGTGTTGTAGTGGTGCTATTATTTTTTTCGCAACTGTATGTACACATAGAGGGTTACAGAGCTTTAAAAAATATCTACAACTTCTGGTAAAAAAAAAAGTTATTCGAATTAAAGGTTCTACACTCTTGAAATCGAGATACACATGCATGTACGTAGTCCCCTCCCTTCGATTTGCATGCAAATGGAACTACATGCCATCCACACTCCATCGACATCCTCTACAGGCCCAACACTTAATCAACAGCAATAATTTCTTTTGAGCGCGAACGAAATTTTTTAATTGAAAGTGATGATGACGCTACTCGCCCTACTGGATCGGTACGAGTATACGAGTACAAGTATCTGTATGAATCGCTATGAGTGCGTGCTTGAGCGAAAGTGTATCTAAATTGAAACTGTGTTCGAAATTTGTATAAATTGCTCCCAAGCTGCGAGTCTGATGGCGCCAGCATTCGGTCCAAGTCCAAGCCAAACAGAACCTTCAGATTCTGGAGCTTCCCCGTCCTGCTTGTTTCATTAACTCCAAGCCGGAGTGAATTATGGAAGAGGAAATATTTCATTGGGACGGAGGGAGAGCTGTGATGTGTGGGTGTCAGCGTCTGATAAATGTGTTAGGTTTCCAATGAAGTTTTATTGCCCTCACATGTAAATATATATTTATGTACATATGTACATATGTGCGTATGCACGTTGCTACTTGGGGCACAGCCGATTGTCGCTGTTTGCGAAAAGGAAATTCTTCTTCTGTGAGGCGTCTGCCTTGCATCTAAAATGAGATTTGAAATGCTTTGCATACAAATATGTCAACTAATGTAGGCAGCTCACTTTGATAGTTTATTTGGATTCGATCGATGTGCTCATAAAAAGCTGCATATAAAACAATAAATTATGAGAATGCGTAAGCTGCCCTCACGTACTCAGGCCCGGTGGGTGGTCACTCCTTTGATACCGCATATCAGTAGCACTGCCAGGAAATGCCAAAGAACTCTGCGACAAATCAGCTGTGACATTTGACTTGAAGACTCTCAGAGACCGAGTGCAATTGATACAACTTCTGTAGATATTTATAAATACAGCAGAGATACCCCATTCTTCCTCTGGCGTTGGGTTGGCAGGCAACTTAGATCGTTGGCCACAATCGAGGCAGAGGCACAGCCAGAGCCAGAAGAGCCCCGACCCAAGCTAGCTGAAGACTGCGCAACTTTGCAAATAAGCAACTAAAATCGTATTAATAGCACTCACTACGACAAATTATTCAGAGAGTCGCCAAATATAAATGAAAAGTTAACAGATTTATAAATAAACACTACATAAAATCTAACAACGAAAAGAGATTCAAAATTAAAATTCGGAAAATCAAGAAAAGAATCAAACAAGCTATCCAAAACATTTTTCACAGTGTGCCAGTGTTTTTGAATTTGAATCGCCATGTTCATAGTTCGGCACATAGTTCGGCAGACATCAAAGTACATTTCCGCTTAAATTAGTCACAGAAATCCCAAAAAAGAATATTCGGACTTGCTGGGCCGAAAAGAAATGACTGGGTCAAAAATAGGTGACTTCTCAGGCAAATTATGAGGAAATTTTAACATTTTCTCGCCTGCCCCGCCCCGCCTAGGTCTCCTTGTAAAAATGCAATCCATTCGCAATTGCACACTTAATTAATGAGCATTGCTTTTGATGTTCTGTGAAGTTCAGTAGCCCCTCCCTCTCCCCACCAGTTCAGTTCCTGCTCCAAGTGACAAAAACGAAATTTTTCACGCACTCAACAGAACTCTTTGAACCCGCCCTTCGGCCAGCCAGCTGTCACTCGACTCGCTCTGGGGACATGTGTCGCACATGTTGGGTATGCGAAGCGGCAGCAGCTAGGGATGGGCGGAATGGCGAGATCAGACAAGAGTGTGATAAAAATCATATTTGGGGATATGATTGCCTTTGAAAATAACGAATGTGTGCAAAACGGTGCCAGATTTTCCCATCTCAGCCCAATCACAAGACATTCGATAGTCCCACTAAGTGATTTTAAAAAGTAAAAACAAGTGGTTATAGGACTACACCTACAATATTAATGGAAATCTTTAAATTTAATGAAACTTTTTGGACAGAATCCAATTCTTTTACCTGCGAGTATCTATCTGCAGCCCTTTGTGTCACGCTGCCATATCTCCCATCCATAAGCCCCTATTAAACACTCGCCACCTTGGTTTTCCCAAGAAAAGTTCAGCAGCCAATGAACAATCCTCAAAATAATCCGCAGAAGAGCAAAGAGACAGAAAGACATAGATTAGCTAGATACTATCTACCTAATTAGTAAAGAGAAGAACGCCCTATCTCAGAGACCCCTGATTTGAAGAAATTATAAGTATCTTCGGGTACAGATTCACATATGACGATGGCCATATGTTTTTTGTTGCATTTTCTTTCATTTAAATGTGCTGAGTGGTGTCAAAATCCATGTCATTAAACCTTGATATGATTCTCTTGCTAACTTAACTATTTGCTTTCCTGCCCCATTTTGATACTCGAAGTGTAAATGGGGTACATTTAATTTGTGGACAAAGTGGCTGTACATATGTAACGCAGAGACGGAAGCGTTTCCGACCCCACAAAGTATAGATATTCTTGATCAGCTTCAATAGCCGACTCGATTTAGCCAAATATCTCTGTCCGTCCGTCTGTCCGCCCGACTTGTTGAGCGCCTGGTTCTCACAGACTATAAGACCTGGAGCCACCAAATTTTGCATTCAGATGGTTGTATGCTCGAACTGTTGCTAGTGTTTTTAAAAATTAGCCCCACCCCCTTCCGCCCTCGCGAAGGTCGAAAATCTCCGACAGCCGACAATTTTGAAGATAACAGAAAACTAAAAACGCCATTCCGTATTGAATGACCATATAAATCATATTACCGAATTGGGTATATTATATTATATTATAGCCAGAATGAATCAATTAATTTGCAGTGGCTAAACCCACCCCGTCCAGCCGCTTTTGTTCATTTTTTGCACATCCGCTCATGCCACGCTCTGCTTCACGAAGTGTGGGAGGGGGCCGAGCTAAAAGAGCGTGTTGGCGTGAGAAGTAGTGTAAATGTAGACGTAGATGACATACGTAGAAAAATTGTAAAATTTGAAAAAAACCACTAAGGTACAGATGTACTACTGAGTACCGGGTATACAAGATGTGACGCGTAAGAAACGTCTCACACGTCCCTTCTCGTTTTAATATATATTTTTTTCTCCCTCTAGATATCTTCACATGTTGCAATCAGGTCTTTGGCTCATGTCGCACAGCTTGCGAAAATGTAAGTATGGGAAGCATCGCGACGGGAGGAAATGTTGAAGAATCATACATACATATGTTCATACATATTTATACATTTGTATAAACAGATATCATAAATGAATTCTGTTACTGGTTTTGTAAGCAGAAATTTACATATATATCCATATCTACATACGTATGTAAAATATCAGAAAATTTTAAATATATCTTTCATAAAATATATTGTAAATATGCATATCACACTATATTATTTATTGTATACTCCGCTGTGGCGTCAAAGTCTTGGCCAGGCCAAACCCAACAAAAAATTGTCTCAAAGGAAAGCAATGTGTATGTCATAAATATTAAACGCCATTCCGGTAACTTGCCATCTAGGAACGTAGTTGAGTGGATAGCCGTTCAGATTCAGATTGAACCATCCGATAAGAGGGAAAACTCGTCACATTTCCTGTTATTTGTATGGGCACTCTTTCTCTGTGTATGCAACTGCGAGAGGTGCATACTAAGCAAAATAAATTTAGAATTCCATAAGCGTGGCTCAGTCAGTCATCAAGAACTATTATGACAGGTTTTAAAACTGTTCGAAAGAACTTTGAATGCCATATCCGCCGTGCGGTGTTCAGTGTTCAGTGCTCGGCGTGGAGTTGTACGAATGAGCCTTGTGCCAAAAAGGAAAATTCAGGCTTCCATCACAGCCCCAGTTCGACAAAATCCACACACTCAAAAATTGCATTGTTAATTAACATAAACTGGCAAACAGGTAATTGCAGCTCAAAGACCAAGCCCAGACAAGAGTCAGAGTCAGAAACAGTGCCAGATCCAGAGCCAGACCAACCAGTTTGCCACTCAAAGTCATTCATAAAACTTAAGCCCGGGCAAAAATCAATTTGTTGTTTGTGTGAGCCCATACTGAATACCCGAACCCGAGCCCCGAGCCCCGGGCCTTTTTCTGCGTGTGTCTCGGTAGCCTGCTCCTAGCTAGCCCCGACAAAAGCCCACAATCAAATCACTGGCATCATTTAACTTTGTAATCATAACAATTTTCCTCCAAAGCAATTCGTTTTTTCAACTGAAATGGGCTGAGGTTTCTCCGCTTTGTATTCCATTTTCACTTATAAATGCAAATTAAGGCATTAAATCTTTTGCCCAAATTGAAACTGACAAAATGACAACTAACCACAAAACAGGATAATGCCGAAGTAAAATGAAGCAAACTGGTTTTTTCCCACAATCACAGTCATTGGAATAGACATGGTATGGTATTTCCGAGTTAAATTTGAGTTTCCTTGGTTGTGGAAGAGATTAGAGAGTGACAAGATCTTTGCAGCGGGATTCGGGAAATAGGAGACCCAATTGATATCCGAACTTCCACCACACCAAGCAATTGAAAAACGTGTGAAAAGTCGTGCCGAAATTGGAGATTAGATCTCCTATCACGATAAGTGAAAGGTCTTTTGTTGTCCAGCGGGCAACAATTTTCAGGAAGGTTTGCGTTTGCGTCTAACCTGATGGAACTGCCAAGGTGGCCAGGCTGTGAGATGGCAGGGGATTCCAGAACAAGTGAGCCTCCGTCTTGGCTTGTGCATGTGTGGGAGTGTGTGACCCGGCCATAGACACTTCATTAAAATAACTGCAACAGCCAGGATGTGATCACATGTTCATATGTATGTACATACGTACATATATGTGTTTGTTGAATTGCTTGCAGGACTACAAAATTTATTCTTGATATTCCCCAATGTAGTAAACCTTAACTACGCTCCTGCTTATGCTAATTTTAATTTATTGGAAGGCCTGGCCTGGCCAGTTTTAAGGACGAGAGAGATGAAGTGCAAGTATCTTGAGCATCTTGAATAGACATCGCTTTACTCAGATTACTGTAGCCGATATGCAAGCCTCACGCCGAGCCTGAGCCTGAGTCTGAGCCTGAAAATTTGATATTGAAATTTCGTGCGCCTCTCTCTTATCGATAGGTAGATCGGAGAGAGGGAGGTGTAAAGCAGAAAATTTTATTTATGATGGTGTCAGGAACAGAAAAGCATTCGGATACGAGAATGTAACATAATACGCTAAAAAATAAAAATGCAACCAGCATGTTTTGGTCTCCATCGGCAACCCCCGATACGAATCCCTCATTAAGGTCCCGCTGTGACTGCAGTGAGCACTTGAAGCAGATCGCAACAGGTTATGGTCTAGAGGGCCGACAGCTAAACATCTAAATCGGTTATTAGGGGTTTTAGATGGGATTTTTTCTCTGCCATCTAATGTACACATTTTCAGTTATCGTTGGTGGAGTTTGCCTCGGGAGGCGCTGGCGATGGTCGTGAGGAGCTGCGAAAGTATTGTCAACTGCCTCAGGTGGAATTCTGGAAGTGCATAAACCAAACTTTCGAAGGTAAGCGCGAATGTACTGGCAATCCACTCAGATAATCAATCCTCATCGTCTTATTCTTACTGGACTTACCATCCGCAGCGGTCACCCGCGGTGCCGACTGGTCGGGCAGGCGTTGCTGCCAATTTGGTGTTCTGCAACATTGTCGAAATGTCTGCGCCTCGGCGAACCAAGCACCGGTCCACAACTGCAGGCGGAGCGATGAACAAATGCTGTACGACTGTCTGGAGCGCCAGGAAGCGGCGGATCGGTGCTGTGGGCAGGCGCGCACCTCCGAGTGTCTTCAGGTAATGGTTGGTTCTAGTTACTAAAGGACATCTTCACATGATGCCTACAAAGAGAAGCTTTATCATATTAGGTACTCAAACAGATGAAGGTTCTATGTCATAGCCAGTAGTTCCACAAATATCTGAATATTCCAACAATTAAAGAAGAAATAAAGAAAACTAGTAAGAAATACATCGACAGACTCCACAACCACGAAAATAATTTAGCCTTAAGTCTATTAGACAATAGCTTAACAGTAAGAAGACTGAAAAGATACCACATTCTCGATATCCCTGATAGATAAATCCAACAAACTGAAAAGATGTTATATATAATAGCAGGTCTCATTGGAAAACTGATATTTCTTTTAATTGAATATTAATTATACAATTTACTTATTGTTTAAACAAACAGATTGTAAATATAAAGAGAGAGAGAAAAAAAAAATAGCCAGTAGTTATGTACTACTGTTTTATGATTGTACTTTTTTTTCTTGTCTTCTGAGCTCACATACCCTCTATGTACATATGTACATAAGAATGACACAAAACCCAGATAATTTAAAAATATGTTGAGTTGTGCTCTTACCAATTATGCTTGAGGAATTAACTTCGAAAGTTAAGGATTATAATCCCTACGTTAAACCAATCGTATTTTTTGGACAACTGTGGTCATTAAGACACTTCTCGGTAAAGGTTTTCCATTTTGTTAGGAAGGACTCCTAAAAAGAAATGAATGCAAATAATTAATAGATACAAGAATCCACTCTCTTTCGTCAACTTTCCAGTAGTTTTCCATAATTTGTGTAATTTTCTAAATTGTTTGGCGAAATCGATCCGAAGCATATCTGGAATAGACAAGAATTGGCTGTTTTATAATCATAATTGTTCGGTTTTTTTTTACAGACTTGCCGTGCTGCCTTTGAGCCCTCCAATGCCAGCCAGGGACATGTGGACATTGGTTCCTCATGCGGGGATCGCAACTTGGATGTGGTACAATGTATACACAACCACACGGATATGGCGCCGTTGGCCAACGCCGAACAATGTAAGAAATCCGTCTATCCGGGCCTGTCGACACCGAAATTAATCCATCCTCTGAAAATCCCCAACAGATCTGCCGTGCTGTGCGTACAGCAACAAGGAGCACTGTCGCCACACCTGCCGGAACCTGCTGCATCAGAATGGGACCCAGGTAGAGCGTAGCGAAGTGATTTTTACGCGGCTGGAGGCGGCAGGCTGTGGCACGCCCTTGCCACACTTGCCCTTCTGGCAATGCTTTCTGACGGTGACTCGAAAGCTGTATGTTCCAGCTGGAGGAGGACTTTCATCGCACCGACGAGTGGGGGGCAAGGCAGCTGAGGCTGTGGGAGAAGCAAACCACCTTGGCATCGATGCAGCCAAGCGTCAGTGCTGCGAGCAGGCCAGTAGCCACAGATGCCGTCACCTCTGCACCCAGATCTTCACCAGTGACTGGTGGGAGACACGGGCCAGCTTCGACAGCGAGTGTTTGGAGCAGCCCAACGAACGTGAGCTTCGTCGATGCGTAGAGAGCGTGGATGCCCCGTGCGAGCTTGGCTGCGATGGCCTCAGCTTCTGCTCAAATTTCAATAATCGTCCGACGGATCTCTTCCGCAGCTGCACCGCAGCCCACGATGCGGCGGCCAGGGAGGATTTCCTGATGCTGCAGAAGCGCGGATTTGTTCGGGTTCTCGGCCAGGAACTTTTCATCAAGAACACCACCAGCTGTGCCCCAGACAAATGGCAGGCTCTTGTCTGCGCTCTGCAACTGCAACCCTGCACTAGGATGGGACTCTTCAACGGCATCTGCAGCGAGGACTGCCACGAGCTGCTGGAGGAGTGCTTGGACTGGACACGCCAACAGAAGCGACCCCAGGCCATTTGTTCGCGCCTCCAACCCTCTGCAGAAGAGGACGAGGAGCCCCTCCCTTGCATCACCTTACGGTCGTATCTGCGGAAAGAGCCCCGCAACGCTGTTGGACCTTACGGACTGACCTCGCCCTGCTCAAAAAAACCGTGCAATGCAAGTGAGGTGTGTGTCCTGCAGAGGAGAGGCGACATCCAAGGCTACGCCTGCATTCCAGGATGCAGCCTGGGCCAGGCCTCTAGCCTGATTGTGCCCTTTGGGGCGTACGTACGCCTCGGCAAGAGCAACATCCACACTAAGTCCGATGTGGGCCAGCCACTGTCCGCCGAGCACATTGTTTGCAGCTGCGGACTTCAGGGCCACCTAGAGCAGTGCCAGCCGTTGCCCAGCTACACCCACGCCCACTGCACCCTTCCAGGGGGACGAAGTTTTCGCCATGGCTCATCCTTCTACCTGGAGTGCAATCTATGCAGCTGCTTCGCCGGCGAGATCACCTGCACCAAGAAGCAGTGTCGCCTGCCCGGATTCACGGACTCCAGCTACACAAGCCTCCCATGCAACTGTGCGGCTCATTATGTGCCCGTGTGTGGCTCGAACGGGAACACCTATCCCTCGGCCTGCGTGGCCAAGTGCCACATGCCGGAGGGCAACTATGTGTACGGGGCATGCAATGCCCGAAATGCTTGCCAGGCAGCGGCTCCCAACAGTTGCCCTCAAGGAACCCAGTGCCTGGACAAACGGAAGGTTTGCCTGGCCAGCATGCAGCGGCCCTGTCAGCAGTACGTCTGTGGTAAGCTCAAGTCGGTTTCAGCTTGTAAGTGTGCGTCTTTTATTTAACTCATCTCATCGCAGTAAACGCCAGCGCCACAAACTGCTCCTCCTACCATCAGGGTGAGGTGTGTGACACCGAGGGACGAACTCACGCCAATGCATGCGATCTGCTGAGAGAATATCCCAGTGGTCAGGTGGCCTATTGGTCGGCCTGCCAGTCGAATCGCGCCTCGCCGTCGCCCGTTTGTGGAATTAATGGGGTGACCTATCGGAGCATTTTCGCAGCGAGGGCCGAGTACGTGCTGGCCGACTACGTGGGTCGCTGTCGGGAGGTGGGTTTGCTGGCCAGCGAAATGGGAAGACGGTGTCGGACAGTCCAATGCCCGGCTCCAGTGTCCAGAAACTGTCGATTGATTGTGCCGCCTGGGGCATGTTGTCCGCTTTGTGCAGGCGGAGCCTTCAGGATTATCTACTCCCGGAAGCAGTTTGATCGGGCCATGTATGGGCTGCGAGCTCAGAACAGCACGTTGCTCACGCTGCATGGTGTGCTCCAGCAGCTGGATGGGCTGGTGCAGGTTAACGAGTGCCAGCTGACGGGATTTCTCACCATGGAAGTAGGCATTTTCGTGGCTCTGGTGCCAAGCAGCAGCATCAAGCGACCAACCCGGCTCCAACTGGAGGCTTGTGCGCGCGAGGCAGAAAAGATATCTTCTCTGATAAATGCCCAGCCCCCAAGGATCACTACCAATCTGGCCCTCTCATGTCTAACTGTATCGCATCTGCTGGAACCCACACCAAATGGGGCGAAACTGCATGGTTCTAGAGCGATTTTGCTAGTGCCCCTCACCCTGTTTTTAGTTTGTAACATAGTTGTTAGTAGTTATATTATAAAATATTAGCTTTATAATGAGTGTTTAAGATGTAAACAATCAAGTGAATTCTTGGTGCCAATTAATCAATTAGTTTACCAGATGGAATGTGCCTTCAACGTCTAGGAATTGTCCCTCTATATTATGTGATATTAGACTCATTAATTAATGTTTAAGCAAAAGGTCCGGGTCCCATTGATCACTTTTGGATAGAAGCGCTATGTATGTAGAATGGGTTTTTATTCGCTGTCGGCCAAACCATCGTTTGTCCATGGGCGCAGCTAGTCCAATTAAAATCTCACATATGGACCCCCCAACCCCAACTAGTAAAAGGGCGAATTAAATTGAAGCGTTGCTCCATTTATTGAACCACTCCACAAAAACTCTTATTTCGGTTTTATAATAAGTATGCGAAAGCAAAGAAAACTAATAGCTCCCTTAGGACGTCTCCATAGGCACCACCTCGATGCGCTCAGTGATGTGCATGTCCTTGGTGGTGGAATGGAGAACTTGTGTTGCGCCAATGTTAAAGCGATAGTCCAACTGGCGCGTGCCCTTCTTGTTGGCTAGCTCGTAGTTACGAAGATATTCCACGTTATCCTTGCGTATCACGCACAAATCAACGTTTGAGCCCGAGCCCAAGTCGTTGAAAATACCAGCCGCAATTGCATCGCGTACGAGCAACTTGGCCTCCTCCTCGGACAGGTCGGGCTTCCAGCGGCTCTCGAACACAGACATGGCGGCCAGGCTTCCGGACCCCATGGTGGCATAGGGCAGCTTGTCGGAGCTGCCATGAGGATGAATGGAATAAATGTGGGGCCCAGTTTTATCTACGCCGCCCAGCACCAAGGCGGCACTGATATGACCCTGGTAGCGGAAAAGCATTTGCTTTAGCATGGTGTTGGCGGCCACCACGCGCACCTCTCGCTCGGTGCTGAGGCGGTGCAGCTCCAAGTGGGACGAAATGAGATCGGTAGTCATTTCGGTGTCGGCCGCAGTTCCTGCACCACAGCAGCTGCAAGGTATGTGTTAGTTGAGGAGCTTAAACTCAGAACAAACTAACCACTTACTATATATTCTTGGCCAGATAATGGATCTTGGCGCAGTTCTTGTCAGATACAATGGGACCCTCGGTGGCGCGAGTGTCGGCTCCCAGGACCACACCATCCTTGTAAATTATGCCCACAATGGTGGTTCCAGTTTTGGTTGTGGTCGGCGGCTTAAAACCCCCACTCAGAAGTGTCGCATTTCTGCAGAAGAAGACTTGTCATGAAGATACGCCGAACGTTTCATGAGCTTACCGCTTGCAGTTGTCAAAGTTGAAGCCAGCTCGTGGCAGGTTGCGTGCCAAATCCAGATCCATATTTATATCTTCTTTTTTTCTGCTGTTTGCTGTTACTCGAGAAAATACCTTTTTATTTCGAGCGGAATGACAATCAAAATTGTAATCAGTGTGACTAGCTTAAGGAAAATACTTTCATATACTTACAAGTTAATAAAATATACTGGTTTATATACCGAATGAACAATGTTTCGGAGCTAAAGCCTAGTACTCCATTCTATTTCTAGTGTTCGTTCGGCAAACAACTTTTTTTTTAGTTCAAAATGTTTAGTGACATTTTTACCTGGTCGCCAACCATTTAAATTTAAAAAAAGCCTAGTACTCAGATACGAAAACACGTTTGCTAGCACACTGTGCAATTTATTTAGCTATCAGCAGAGTGTGACCAGAGGTGAAAGCCGCATTCCGTAGGGTCACACTAAGGTACGGTTACAGGACACAACTTTTAGTGGAATTGGCGGCTCTTGCATTTGTGGAGAAGGAGGACAATCAACGAAATAAGCGCCGGAAAGCATCTGCAGGAAAGAAACCAGCAGGGTCGTATGGAGCATGAGTATGAAACCCCATCTAACAATACCCTTTGCACATTCCCCAGTTTGAAAATATGACTCAGAATATGATAGTTTCAAGTCAAAAACATCGCCTTCGCCCTTCCTCCGCAGAATCCTGTGGAGCAGTAATTGGTCCCAAAAAGAAAACATCTTAAAACAAATTTTGTAACAGCTCAGTCGGGTCAGTGTTTTGGCATCATGAGCAAATGGCGTTCAAATAAGTTCGAAAAATGAAAAATGCAAATAAATTTAATATAATCGCATTAATCTATAATAATATTTATAGTTTTTGCCGTTGATGGCCTCAACTTCAACGGCATTGTTGCCTCCGTTTAATTGAGACTTTACTCTCTGTTTGCTAGGTACCCCGCGGAATATAAAACAGATCTGATATCGAGCTGCTAGAAACATACCATCAAATATCACAAAATACTATCGCCTGATTTCTAAAGGGATGATGTCATCTGGTCTGGGTGGTATATTTCGGTATATTTGAGGGTGTAGGTATATTTTATCGCGGATTTATCCCCGGTCCCACTGGTACGAAAATAAATAGTAAAAAATCATGTCTAGGGCTACAAAATTACATAAAGCAAGCTGGTGTGCCCTAAGCCAATTGCAGCAATACAGAACTAAATGTATGTATACCTAATTGCTGTAACTTTTATTGAGCAAAAGCAATTCAAATGTGATTGTACTAAATGTCGTTGTGGGCTTAACGTGTAATGAGGCGGCTCCAGCCTCAGGGTGGACGTGCTCGACTGGAAAATGGCGGAAAACTCCAGAAGTATGTCATGCTTTAATTAATTAAATATATAAATTTACTTGCAGCAAACTTTTCTACGTCGATTGCCTCTCGGAATGAACTGTTTGCACAGGAGCAGCGCCGGCAACGAGACGCCGTTGGCCGTATTGACAAGATCGAGGTCCGTTATTTGGGTTTGCCCGAGGATGTGACTCTGGTGATGAACAACCATATCTCCACGCCATTCAACTGTGCACAGCACTTGAGTGAGGGACACTGCAGACGCACTGCTCTGGCTCTAATCGATGGTAGTGTCCCGTGGGATATGCACCGGCCCCTTCAGGAGTCCTGCACCTTGCAGTTGCTCAACTTTAATGTCTCCGAGCCGCATGTGGTCAACAAGTAAGGATATGGCGTTATTGAGTCTGATCACCTATGATGCTCACCTATGTTCCCCTGTTGCAGAGCCTTCTGGCGTACATGCAGCTTCATGCTGGGCGCTGCTTTGACGCGGGCATTTAAGACGGAAGCGAACCTCCAATTGCACAGCTTCCCGGGACCAAACAGTAAATCCATGGCTTATATTATGTAGATCTCTCGTCTAATGAATCTTTATCACAGTCAAGTCGGGTAGCTTTATTCACGATATCGTGCTGGAGACCCAAAACTGGCAGCCATCGAAGTCGGAAATGCGAGCCATCTCGGCTGAAATGATTAGACTTGCGGCCCAGGATTTGCGCATCGAACGCTTGGACGTTCAGCAAGAGATTGCCCAGGAGATTTTTAAGGATTCTAAATACAAGAGCGAACAATTGCCGAGTATCGCGCAACAGAATAATGGGCGAGTGAGTCTGTACCGCCTGGGGGACCACATTGACATCTCACGTGGTCCCATGGTGGCATCCACTCACTTCCTAGGCAAGTGCACTGTCTCGGCGGCCCACAAGTTAGCCGAGGAAGGGTCAGCAGGAGCCTTCTATCGCATCCAAGGCGTGGCCCTGCCTTGTGGCTTCAAGTTGAGTCACGTTGCGTATGGCTTGCTGGAGGAGCGATCGCAGAAGCTGGTGAGAACTCACTAACAGGCAACGTCGATCTTCATGTTCATATTTAATCTTTGCAGAACCCCGCTCGCTTGCCCCATGAACCTTTTGAGGAGCAACAACAATTGCAGTTATCTTAAACAGATCTTTAATCGATAAAAGCTTTACAATAAGTGTTAACAGGTAACTCATTAAAGAGCAACTAATTCGTTATTAAACGGGGAAACATAACCCTTTGGATGACATTGGATAACGATTAACGGGTAACTTCCGTCTTAGAACTAGCCAAAAATATTCTTAGCCTATTTGCTCTGACTACATTCGCTTACAGTCGTTAATCTTCTTAAAGTTTTATGCATAAGCTTGGGATGATGAGGAAGATATCTCTTACTCAAGTGGAAATTTCAAAGATGCTTAAATTCAACTATCGACAAGAAAAAACAGATGCATTTCCGCAGTAACCAGTTTGAGATTCTGAACGTGTCTTCTGGAATGCCTAGAAGCTCTTAAACAGTCCCTCCAGGTCGTGTTCGTTCAGGGCAATGATCAACATGATCAGTCCACCCAGGAATATGCCGAATACCTGGATTAGAATACCCTTTGGATCCTTCGCCATCTCCGTGTTGTGGGCCACACTCATTGTGGGCACCAGATCGGCAAAGGCAATGTATAGGAAGGAGCCTGCGGTGGCTGCATAAATCCATTGCGTCATTCCATCTCCAATGCCGGCAATAAACAGACCTACAGCCATGCCAACAAAACTTAGAACCGAGCTAACCAGGTTCATGTAAATGGCTCGCCTCACGGAGACACCTGTCTGCAGAAGAAGTGCAAAGTCGCCCAACTCGTGCGGTAGCTCGTGACATAGAACAGCGAATGCTGTGGCCAGACCTGTAACAGGATCACTGGCAAATGCGGCACCAATGGCTAAGCCATCGGTGAGATTGTGCAGTCCATCGCCAATGATGACCATAAAGGCCACAGGAGTGAGCGGCCGCTCTGCTGACTTTGCGTCCAGCTTCGTCTCCTGCAGCATCACATTAAGCTCACGTGAAGCTGGTACCTCTGGAACTTCCTTCTCCACCTGCTGGCCAGGTGAGTGGCCATGACTGTGCCCATGTCCATGGCTGTGCTCGTGGATCTGCCCATCGCCCTTCAGCAGCGGAATTACGTTCTCTAGCGTGTACATGAACAGGGCGGCAAGAAAAGAACAACCACACAGCAGGGCCGCTTCCTTGCTGTGCTTGTGTGCAACACTCATCACGTGCCCCTCGTCTAGGGCCTGCTCGTGCTTCTCCTCTTTGAAGAGAGCGTGAGGCAGCAAGTGCATCAGAGCATCTCCGGCCAATGTGCCCACGGCTATGGATACCAGAAACTTGAGAATCTCCTGATAAGCTGTCGTTTTCATCAAAGGCACCAGGAGAATGCCAAGTAGACCGCATGCAGAGAGTACAAACATGGATATACTGGCACAGACCCAAGCTGAAAGAGGGGAAATGGTTAGCCCATGTACCGCTTAAGAGAGTTGTGTGGAAGCCCTGTTCACCTACCATCCCAAATCTTTTGGTTTTTATCCTGAAGTATTTGCAAACGTGGAGCTGGCTGAGCACACACACCTCCGTCGATTTGGGCCAATAGAGCTGGACAAAGCTTCATGAATGCTCTGGGGGTGATCCGTACCGAGTTGATGAAGTTGTTGTACTCCTCATCAGAGTTGTGAGTGGTCTCCGTCGGAACGGTGGAGCCCGTACTGATCAGCTTCCGGTAAATACTGTTTCTGTGTAGATCATTGTGGTCCACAATCAGGGAGAGCAAAAGCTTCGGCGACAAGCAGGCGGCTGCAGGCCATGGTCTGCCATCAACTAAAAATTCAATAGATTGTAATGTTTTTTTGTTAAATACTCATATCACTTATTAATATTTACACTAGCTGGTAAACACAAGAGGGTAGTGTGAACTTAATCATTCTGAGCATAAAAATACGAGCGGTGGCCTATTTTGTTTACTCAAGACCACACTCACAATTGGCACCCGATTCGCTTGTAGGAACGATTCATGAGTTGTATCGCCCCTGCTTGGTGCTAACTGTTTATGAAGAGCCGTTTTAGTGTTTGTGTACATTTCAATAACCGGCAAATCTCGCCGAATCCAGTAACGTGAACAGCATCAGCTGAAAAGGCACTTGTTCTAGCTCCTCCCTGTTGATGGATGATTGTTTTTATACGACAATTTGTTTTCCACTTCCGCGTACATAATGGGGTTGTTTATCGCTTTATCGCCCTGTGGACGAGGATTTTTACCACCAGCTGACATGACATTGCACTGCCCAAAAGGAGAGCTAGCTACAATGCCCGTACATTTTCAGATAACTCTACCCGACAATTGAACTTGTTTTTTTCCGCTTCGAACCAAAGCAGCTTTTTCTGATAGAGTGAGGGCTTTAATTTTTTGTAAAGAACAATGTCTTGTTTTTATAGAATTTACAAAGTCTGATATTTTTTTAACGTTTCTATACCCGGTACTCGAAGAGTAAATAGGGTATATTGTATTTGTGGGGAATAACGGTTGTATGTAACGCACAGAAGGAACGTTTCCGACCCCATAAAGTATATATATTCTTGATCAGCATCAATAGACGAGTTGATAGAGCCATGTCTGTCTGTCCGTCTTGTCTGTCGGCTAGTTCTCAGAGACTATAAGAGCTAGAGCCACCAAAATTTTGCATCCAGACTGCTATATGCTCACACTGAAACCAGTGTATTTCAAAAATGAGTCACGCCCCCTACCGCCCCGCAAAAGAGGCAGTGGCCGCACACAAAAAAAAACACAAATATAAGCTGAGGGACGGGGTGGGTAAAAGTCGGCAGGGGGAGGGCAAAGGCAGCGGCCGAGTGAAGCAGAAGCAGAGTGTGAATGAGAGAATGTAAAAAGAGCAACAAAAGCTGCGGGACAGGGTGGGTTTAGCCACTGGAAATTAATTTCTCCATTGTGGCTATAATAATGATGCGATCGGATCCCAATCTGGTGATCTGATAGATACGAAATGGCGTTTTTAGTTTTCTTTTATCTTCAAAATTGTAGATTTGGGAGGTTTTCGCCCTTTTTAAGGGGCGGAAGGGGGCGTGGCTCATTTTTGAAATACACTGGTTTCAGTGTGAGCATACAGCAGTCCGGATCCGTTATTCCCCACAAATACAATATAACCTATTTACTCTTCGAGATGGATAGCATAATTGAATTTATTACGAGTATATGCATACATACATATGTACTACATATGTGTGTTAGTAGATGCCGGTGCCCGTGCCCCTGCAGTGACTTGAACTTGGAAGCTGGCCAATTAAGATACATTTGTTTTGCCATGTATGTACACACATATGCAAGTGTGTAGTAGGGCCCCGTTGCTTCTATTTATATTGGGGCTTGAGAATTTCTCTACGACTTAATTGGAATTGTCTCTCAGGTAATTCTTTGTGGTTGCCACTGGCTCATTATTGTCATACTTGAATAATATAATCTGAATGTACATAATCTCATGTTTATGTTTCTTATAGTTACCATCATGAGAATGGAGGGAACTTCTCTCCTACTGTTAATGGCAGTGGTGTCTTTGCTTGGTCTACTCGTATCTGTGTAATAATCAGGCAACTCTGAAGAGTGCAAATACTCAGGTGTCTGATAACACTACTTTTTTTCCGCTTCGAACCAAACTGACTTTTTTATAGACTAAAGGCTTTAAATTTTTTTTTTAATTATCGTGTTTTTCTATGGCAGAACTTTTATTAGAGATTTATAAAGTCCGGTTTTTGTTTGTAACGTCTTTCTTAGAGGTAGCGCTAGGTTGTAATGCTTAGCCATTCTATAAAGCTGACGAATGCATCTATAAAGAATACCCAAACACTTTGCGGTTTTGGCTTAGAGTCTGGGAAATGTCGACTTTAAAAACTCGAGAAAAGTAGAAAAATAAAAATCATGTATCCACTATTTTTTATGAACAGATGCATTAATTGGACGTCGTTTAAGGTATTACTCGTCAAAGTCTATGGAGAGACGTATGAGCTACAACTGTTTAACCTGTTGAACTTTTCCAGAGTTTTGTAAGTACAAATTTCCTAAAAAGTACCTCACAAAAATCAACATTTTTGCATTTAAAGCTTAATAATTTTTCACAAAAATCAACATTTTTGCATTTAAAGCTTAATAATTTTTAAGTTGGTCTGGATCGAAGCGGCAAAATCGTGCCGAGTAGTGTAATGCAGATCCATACAGTTAAGGGGGAAAGGCTCACCGCTGCTCTCCCTCGGATGCCGATGCTTGGGGTCGTGTATTTCTAGAAACTCTGGAACCGCAGGCCCCGAGTTATTTGAGGTCTTTGATGATATCTGCACATCCATAGATTCGTCGCCGGTGGCATTGGCTTTGATCTGCTTCTCAAAGTAGGTGCCATTAGTGCTAGCTTTCGTTTCATTAGAGTACCCTCGGGGTCGATGCTCATCGATAGTGTGCGAGGGGTCGAACTCGATCTGGCCCAGGTTCAAGCTGTACATTAAATGCTCGAGACCCTGTAAGGACAGTATTTATAACATGGAATAATTATTGAATGATATAACTTTCTTTTCTTCAAATATGCATTTAATTTAGTAACAGCAAAATAACAGCTGACAGCTGTTTATCAATCTTAGTATATTAATGGATCTCACAGCATTTTTATACCCGGTACTCTAAGAGTAAATAGAGTATATTGTATTTGTGGGGAATAACGGTTGTATGTAACGCACAGAAGGAAACGTTTCCGACCCCATAAAGAATATATATTCTTGATCAGCATCAATAGTCGAGTCGATAGAGGCATGTCTGTCTGTCCGTGTTTCCGTCCGTCCGTCTGTCCGTCTTGTTTGTCGGCTAGTTCTCAGAGACTATAAGAGCTAGAGCCACCAAATTTTGCATCCAGACTGCTATATGCTCACATTGAAACCAGTGTATTTCAAAAATGAGCCCCGCCCCCGCAAAAGGGCGAAAACCTCAAAAATCTACAATTTTGAAGATAAAAGAAAACTAAAAACGCCATTCCGTAGGGAATGGCCATATCTATCAGACCAAATTGGGATCCGATTGGATCATTATTATAGCCACAATGAAGAAATTAATTTCCAGTGGCTAAACCCACCCTGTCCCGCAGCTTTTGTTGTTCTTTTCACATTCTCTCATTCACACTCTGCTTCTGCTTCACTCGGCCTCTGCCTCTGCCGTCCCTCTACCGCTGCCTCTGCCGACCCACCCCGTTCCGCAGCTTATATTTGTTTTTTTTTTTTGTGCGCGGGCGCTGCCTCTGCCTCTGCCGCGAGTCTGCAGTGTGTGGGTCTAGGGAAGGGCGGCGAGATAAAGGAGCATGTTTGTGTGAGTAGTGTTGTTGATGTCGATGACAGATGAAGGAAAAATGTAAAATTTGACAAATAAGCGCTGAGGTGCAGATGTAGTACTGAGTGCCGGGTATAAAAGTTATGACGCGTAAGAAGCGTCTCACACGGCCCCTTTTGGTGAGCGGACGGTGCCTCTGCCTCTGCCTCTGCCTCGAGTCTGCAGTGTGTGGGTCTAGGGAAGGGCGGCGAGATAAAGGAGCATGTTTGTGTGAGTTGGTGTTGGTGTGAGAAGTGTTGTAGATTTTGATGAAAGATGAAGAAAAAATTTAAAATTTGACAAAATACATCTAAGGTGCAGATGTAGTACTGAGTGCCGGGTATAAAAGTTGTGACGCGTAAAAAGCGTCTCACACGTTCCTTCTCGTTCTACTAGGAATGCATTTAGCTCGAGGTCTAGGCTGCTTTCCACAATGTAACAATTACTTAAATATCTTATGTATAATTATTACTCACAAGTTTTAAATGCAAAAATAATCATTTTTGTTCAGTATTTTTTTACGAAATTTTACCTTTAAAAAACTTGGGAAAAGTAAAAAAAATTAAATCCTTTGATCTTTATTATATCCGGTACTCGAAGCGTAAATAGGGTGAAGTAAATACCATATTCTTATTTGCGCGCGAAAGTTGATGTATGTATCAATTTGGCGATCTGAAAGATATGGCCGTTTCCCACGGAATGGCGTTTTTAGGTAAAAAAAACTGTGACGCGTTTCACACGCTCTCGTTTATACTTTCATTCAGAAAAATTCTTTGTGTTCCAAGAACTCGGCATAATATGCCATTGAAATTGAGATTTTAGAATGGGAACAGAATACCCTCTCCTAACCTAGCATACGGCTGTGGCGGATGAGGGGGCCACGCGACTCTGTTAGTATGCCGAGTGCGTAGAAACTTTTTAGTAACCTGGAATTTAAATGGACAAAACGTATTGCGTAGCGCTACGCATGAGTAATGCCAATTTCCAGGGAGCCCCATCTCTAACTATGGAGTCCATAAGCACAACCTCGGTGTGCATTGCGAAAGATTTAGGTGGAGTCTGTTCTTGGCCTGGGGCCAACAGACTAGCCTCTAGATTTAGAATTCGTCAGCTCTTGTGTTATCTTCCCCCAGGAAAATTGCTCTTATCGGAGTAATCTTTTAATCTTGTTTTGGCTACGTGGAGGGGTATTGTGCCGTCCATGCTGGATGCTCAAGTCTCGGGAGTGTATAACACAATATGTGTTTGTATCTGGATTTTGATTAAATTTATGATAATGCCCGCAATAAAGTCTCCACGTTTCTGTCATGAGTTCCATAAAAGAGGGAGAGAGAGAGGCAACGATGGCGATGGCGACGGAGTGGACGACTGCTACCCTAGCACCCCGTAGTTGTTATAGGGTTGTGTGTCCATAAAGATTTCAGGTTGAATGCAGTGATGCGATTATAACTGTTGTTGAAATGTACAGAAAGGTTTCACTTTCACAATACTCATATATTTGTCGTACACCAATTTATTTTTTCTCTGCCCCGTGTAACCTTCTTTTAACGATTACCAGTTTTCTGTCTTAGATGGTCGTTGGTGCACTATGCCCGGTCCACAAAAACTCACTAATTGTTTGCCATAACATCAGCAAAAAGCGCCAGAGTACATGTCCGTCTTTGTTTACCTCGCCTCATATATCCCCTCTTTGTGTGTGTTTACAAGACTTGTTGGATGGGCGGCTGTTTTTGTTGTTGTTGTTGTTACCTCAAAGTTGATGGTCCCGCCATCCCCGTACTTTTGGAATATTTGCTCCAGGTAGCGGTTGTACTCCAAGGAGGTTTGTGCCATTCCTAGCAGTGAAACGAGGCACAGGAGGCGTACAATTAGCACAGGTTTAGGGGCCATTTTAATAACTGAACACGTATGTGGTAAACTTTATTGAACGCAAAGCGGAACCCTACTGGGGGCTGATCGTCATTCGTGCGTTCCGTTTCGACGACTGCCTATCCCGCTCAACGGTCTTTTTGAAATGACGGTTTTGCCGACGCAGCGTTTCTATACAACGGAAAGGAACGTGCTTCTCGCTCGCCCCATATCTGTCTCTCTTTATATCTCTCTCCACATTGCCTCTGCGCACGCG